GTAGCTTCAAACATTATTTGTGAATAATATAGAATATTTTAGATGCTTTTATAGATATTATAAAATATTTTAAGTATTTTTAATATTTATATTTCACACTTAAAAAGAATAATTTGCCAAAATAAAAACATTAAATACACATTATAAATGTTAATAGAAACATTTTTCAGTGTTCATCTTTGATTTTGTCAAAACAAATCTCATAAAATCGGTGAAGTCAAAATTTGTACGTAAAGTCTATCTGTACTAAAAAAAAGGTAGATTCAAAATTCTTTATCTAATTTCTTCTTTTCCTTATCTAATTCCTTCTTATTATCTAATTGTATAGAAATCTGTTCTAATTTCGTTCAATCCTCTAATTGTATTTGTATTATATCCCATTAAATCGGTTTAACAAAAAAAAATCTCATAACATCCGATAAGTAAAAAAAATACGTAAAATCTTTACTAAATAAAAAAGGCTTTATTTATAATATAATTTATTATTTAATTGTATGGAAATCTGTTCTGATTTTATAGTACGTACTACAAATTGTGTACCCGTGTTCAGGAGCTACTTAACGGGCAAACTCTGTGGAAATAACTCATTTAGTGCTTCTGTCCCGTTCATACGGTATGTATTTGAATTACACATACTAGAGAATTGTGTACCCCGTGCATCGCACGGACTCTGTACTAATAAATGACCTTAAAATTGTGCACCCCGTGCATCACCCGTGTTCACATTTTGACCTATTACATGTCACGTACTATATATATTCCGTACATTTTTCTTTATTCATTTATATAATTATAAGACTTGATAAATGACCTTAATTTTGTGCACCCCGTGCATCGCACGGGATCTGTACTAGTGGTATTTATAAGGTGCATTGTATCTTGCATGCAAGTTGGAGAAGGGTCTATCGTTCCGAAAAAAAAATTATATATAATATATTTTGCAAATGAAGATATTTAACTAGGGAATTAACTGAAATAATCGACGAAATATAAATTTCGATTCAACAGTTGTAGTTAACGGTTTTTATTTTTAAAATTTCGGGTTATTTCAATTTGATTTTGGAGTTATTTTAAAGTATCATAGTTAATTCAACCGGCAGAAACATATTTATTTTTATTTAAAAAAATATATATAATATTTTAATAAAAAATAAAGAAGAAGATATATTTATTTATATTAAAAATTAATTATAATATATTTATGTTAATCGGCCGAAATAAAAGGTTATTCCGATTTGGTTTTAAGTTCAGTTGTTGATAAAAGTTTGTCTCGCAAATTATCTTTTTTTTTTATGAACGATAAAAATACTCATATAAATCAAACACCAATGTTTGAATACAATCCAGAAAATAACTGAAAACCAAAAAATCATTAATGTCTAGATACATAACAAAATGGATGAATAAAAAAAATCAAAACGATATCTAATAGTAAACGGAGGGAGTATTAAATTGGTATGGGAACATATTTAATGTCTTATTATATAATACATTGGTATGTACTGTTTAAAGTATGTCCAAAAGATTTTGGACCACGACTTTATGCATATGTGTATCTGTTTAAAAAATCAGTTCACGATCAAATTTATCACTGTATTTGGTAAAATTAGCTGATAAGTTAGCTGATAACTGATAAGTTAACTAATAGCTTATCAGTAATTTTTGTGTTTATAACTTATGACTTATAGCTGAAAATTTAGCTTATATGATAAAAGTGTTTGATAAGCTAGCTGAAATAAAAAAATTCAACTAGTTTATTTGAAAAGATACCCAAGCTTATCAAATAAGCTCGAACTTTTTAAAAAAACTCGTCATACCAAACAAGACTTATTTGAATACAGAGAGTTTATAAGCTAACCAAATAAGTTATAAGCTATCTTATTTGTCTACCAAACATAGCATTAGACCTGAATTGATAATTTTTTTTTTCCACAAATTATTTATATGCTTATCACTGTACATATATATCATTTATTATTAGATTCTTTAGTGAAAAATTGAGATAATATTTCTGGAATTAGTATTATTCAATTTATAATTTTTTGCTCACATTTCGTTGTTTGAAATTGATATTTTGTCTAGTGATAATAAAAAATTATAATACAGGCATGAAGGGAGAAAATAAAATAAAAAATAAAAAAAAAATAAAAATTTTATCCTTTTTTTTTTTTT